TTTTTTTTTATATACAAATTATACTACAAAAAATCCAATATAAATTAAGTTTTATATGACAAACGTCATTTATATTATCCCCGAACTTTACAGTACTATTCTTACTGGCAAATGGTACTGAATGATGAAACAGTAGATTCACAAATGCCAACGTGCATTGTTGTGCATGATACTCAGTAATATCTGGACTCATTCAGCCAAATTTAATTCCAATACAAAGTAATTAAAAACCAATCATTCTTGCAACCACAAACAGTAGAGAAGAAGGTAAAAGCAAAACACCACTCCTAAAACATCCAAGTAATAGATAAGTATATCTATGAAGAACCGGTGTATGATCTAATTTATGCTGCAACATATTTATTGTATTGAGTTTGTGACGGTAGATTCATCCAAGATCAGGAACGGTGAAATACCCCTCCTCATTATCGTCTAGAATTTCAATTCTAGATTTCTTGTGAGGCATGTAAAATTTGGCTGGCCTATAAGAAGCCGAGTTACTTGGCTGAGACACTGGTAGCTGAGGTACTTCCGCTGCTAAAGCCTCCGAAGACAGTTGTTCGCCAAACAGACCAATGTCTGAAAACCACTCAAGCTCACCAAACTCAAGTTGATCCTTCTGCAAAAGTTGAAAAATTGATTAGCATTGCTGCAATCTGACAAGAAAGAAAAAGTATATTTTATATTTGTCTTCTACCTTCGAACAGTCTAGTGTTATCCCAATCCTCCCTACCAAACATGTCCCATGTTTTCGTCCAATGTAGAAATAGGTAGTAATTTTCTTACCTTATTGGAGGATTCATAATCTGAAAACTGTAGTAACTCATCAACAGGCCAAGCTGGTGATGTGATACCACTTACATGCTGCGCGGGTATTCTCGTAGTAATCTGTTGTGAATTCTGCTTGGGCGGCATTGGCACCACATGGTCTTTCATTGTGTCCTTATTGCAACTAGAGCTCAAAGCTACTCGAATTCCGGTGGCTAAAAATCGCTGGTGATTAGCAGCATGGCTATTGGCCGAATGGATAGGCTCATCACAATCCTTGCAAAAGAGTGCTCTGTCTTCAACACAGAAAATGAAAGCTGTCTTCGTCTGTACATGATAAAATGTATTGGTCAATACAGAAATTAAGAATAAAAATGACCTTCAGATAAAAAGTAAGAATATTTTCTGAAATGAGTTTGGCATGAATACGGTCTTGTAAAGAATCACTTTTCTCACTGATAACACTTCTGTCTCGATACATAGTTATCATAAATATCATTGGCATTCTTTCATGTGGAATAGAAAACCAACTATTCAGCAAACTGGTTTAAGTAAAGAATATGGGCTATATTTAAGGATCAAAAGGCATTCTCATGTATAGCATATTACTCTAAGCAATGCCTCTGTAAAAGCCAATAGCAACTTATGATTTTATAGATTGTTGATACTCGCTCCGGCTTTCTGAAAATTCCAACACATTTTCTCAATAACCTAAAGGCGATGTTCTTCTTGGGAATTACATTATATACAAGGTAAATGAAAAAGAAATTTCACACCAGTCGAACAACGTTTCATTCGTACTTTTCCTACTCGTCATGTAGTGACAGTACAGCTTTAACCCACAAGCATCCGACTATACTACGCTAAACAAGGGAAGAAATCTCAAACCAGTGCAGTGAATCCTTTATAGTCTATCGAGTCTGTGTGGGTGTTTCCAATAGAAAAAAGCATCTTCTTAGATAAATTTTCAATGCTTCAAATGTTTAGAAGCTCAGGCTCATCGAGATTCATATCAAAGCCCAAAAGTCAGTTTTCTTTGGATTGCACTCTTCTCTGCTCTTATAGGTAAGAGAAATATGCCCATTTAGTGTTCTTCCCCCTTGGTCAACTTCCAGTCACTCAACAAGGGAATCTTTATATCCAAATCTGCATAATATTTTAGTTAGTTAGGAATGTCATTTCTGGGAGAAGAAAGGAGATCCTAACTCTTGCCAGACCATTCGCAAATAACTCGAGTCGAGAGTTAGAAAGTCGACAAGGAAAACATACCCTTCGATTTTGTAGTTGTTAATTGTCTCTTGATGATGCTGATCCTTGGCATTAACGTATTCATGGTGAACATTAATTAACAACTCCTAAATCAAAGTGCCTGCTATCCCTTATCAATCATGACCATAACTGAAGATGAGTTTCAATATAATGGAATGAACCATGCTAGAGTTAGAGCCTTGGTCGACAGTTTTTTTGACAGCCCCTTCAGCTTTATTGCAATGGAATTTATGCACTTCCAAAAAGCTGCCACATATGAGGTGGTACAACGTGGTATCAAAGCCAGTAAATGTCAAGTCTCATCACTATCCAATTATGAAAATTTTGCGATATGTCATCCCTTTGATGAGAAATGAATTCAGCCCTAGAATGCAGCCCTACACTTGAGGGGTTGTTGAATTCGTCTCCTCTTTAAACACTCAAACTTTAAGATGAGATGGTTTAACAAACATCATCTTCTGTTACACCTCATCCCATTATAGTCAAAATCAAAGTTCAAGTCAAAGTCAAATAAGGATTTAATTGGAAAAAATAATGTTTATGGAGACTAATTG